AGCAYCACATATATATTATATGGTCTTCTTGCTCTTTGGCTAGAGGCACAGTCATGGTTCAGTGTTTTAATTACCCGACTGCAGGCTATCTTGGCCATAAAAGCTCACAGAGAAAAAGAGAAACGCTATGCAGAAATAACATTAATTTATAATACGCATCAATTAAAGAAAACAAACAGTATAAAATTAGATCATCAGGACTATATACTTGGGAAACCACCTTGCTGATAGATAGCTGGCTCTGGCCTTTAGCAGGCTAACATACTGTTGCTCTGCACATCTTCCATGCAAAGGGGCTGGGGCAAAAGGACTACCTGGGGGTGGAGCTGCAGACAAGTAAGGGTTTTCAGTAGTGCAGAKCAGGCTCCTTTCACCTACTCACCGGTGAAAACACTTGTCTTGATCTCAAGGGTTTTCTGAAGGAAGGAGAGGCAGAATCCACCCGCAAATCTTTAAAAGTGTGAAGTTCTATTTCTTTAAAGCCAAGGTCCATCATTGATAGTTCAGATATCTGCAAAYTGCTGAAGTAAAGAGCTGCATTTCAGAGGCTTCTCTTGCAGATCCACTGAGCTGAGACTCCCTAGCTCTGCTGAAGGACTGTCTTTTAATTTGATGTATGAAATGGCTGAGAGGATGCTGGGAACAAGAGCAGCAGTATCTTCTGCCCCCAAGTTGGGTGCATTGGGCATGCAGCTGCAGCAACTGCATTTTGAAATGGATCTCAAAGGAAATAAGTGAATACAACATTTAGGGATGGAAAGGTCCATTGACTTTCTCTGCCTGCCCACCAGTGACAGATCACTCCCCCAACGCTTTGTCTCGTGCTTAATGACCCAAGCAACTGGGGCCTCTATTTATTCTTGCCAGGAACGGCTCTAACCTCTCAGGAATCTCCATGGGAGGAAACCTCACAGAGGCACAGCCTGTGTTTGCCGCAGTTAACTAAATGGGGTGGAAAGTGGGGATGAGGGTAAATATTGCTTCTAGCCTGTGCTATACCTCCAGAGAGCTCAGACCAAAGTTACGTCAAACCTCCCACCAGCAAAGCCCTACTCATGAGCACAAGTCCCAGCTGAGTGCTGGGGTGTTGGGGAGAGGCCTCCTCCACACTGACCCATGAGAACAGAGGCCCTATGTGACAGTCCCAACATGGACAAAGCAGCCAAGCCAGCCTGTGCTGCTCTTCAGCATTTCTTCTGCACCTTCTACCAGCCATTTTCCTGCAAGGCTGGTGTTGCTTTCCGAGGGAGAAAAGGAGCAGTGACCCTTCAAGTATTAGAAACCTCTAAATCTCTCTGGGGAATGGAGAGGCCGGACAGCTCTGGCCTCAGTAAGTTACATGTTGTTTTACTATCTGAGATTCTCATTACCTCCAATGAAGCTGTGATTTGTTTCTCAGTTCTCATTTCTTTCTACACAGTTGTGTCTCCTTTTAAGGGAAGCTTTTCCTAGGATTTCTGGCCTCAAAAGGTTTCTTTTTCTTCATTTGTGAATTACAGATGTCACAAACACCTCCGACATGGTGCATGATTCCTCATTCAGATGCAGAGAAGCTAAGGGGGGGAATAAATCCATAGATTTATAGCATCCCCTGGGGATATCAGCACAGGACATACACGCACATGCCAGTGTTAAGTCAGACTAGACACTGGATGTCACCAGCACTCCACTGGAACCACAGAGGAAGGAGCAGATATCTGGCAGAAAAAACCTCCACTCTTAGAGCAAGCGCTGTGGTTGGCTGCAAGTATTGGTGTTGGCAGARCATGAATTAATGAGTATCATCTAACATGTCCTGGAGCTGGAATAAATCCAGCAGAGATGACTCAGGTGAGGAGGTGAAGGAAAGGCTGAAAGGAGGTTGCTACCCTATCTCTGACAGAAAACCAACACCAGGAATTTCCCAGATAGCCAACAGTCTACAATCTCAACAAGCAAAAGAAAATAAGATATTGTGGAAAGGAGTAAAAACAGAATTCAATGATGGCAGAAACTTGMTTTGGCAGTTTGAATACCAAGTACTAGCAAGATATAAAAGGTCTCATGACCATTACTTGCAAATATTTCCCATTTGGAAGGGCAATCACAATCTGATGTCTCCTGACAAAGAAAGCCTACCATTCCATATTCCCATGCTTAAGTCTTTCGCTTCTCTCCCCTATACCAAGCACTCTTCTATTCTGAGACACAAGGTCAGTGTAAAAAAGTATAAATATAATAATCTTGATATGACCCATCATGGAGGAAGAGGAAACTTTAGGCAATTCCAGGGTTTCTCACAACAAGATCAAGATGTAGAGGGACATAGAGAAGCAAGGTACCCAGAGAGGAGAGAGGTTGCTGCAGCAGCCTGTACAAACCAGAGGAAACTGCTCAACCTATAGTAGCACATTCACACCACACCTGACGCTTTATGGAAGGGTCCCACGCCAGAAACATGTGTCACAATTGACCTGGCTGCTTCCTGCAGAAACCTCTGGGATTATACAGTGCATACAGCAGCTCAGCTGGGCATAATCCACCCTGACCTGCCGGACATCTGGAACTCCTGGRCAGATGAAGTATGGATCTCCTCAAAGCCCTGCTGGGTTGCAGGTAAAGTTTTCTCTTCTCAGAGAGGCTGGAGTACTAAAAATA